CTTAAAATAAATGTTAGTTAAAATAAATATAAACCCTATAGCATTATCCAACTTCTTTCATTTGCTAGTGTTTATGATTATTCGGGGGGAAGGTTATCATTCAGTAGTTTAAAAAAACAATCAAAATGGAAAATAGAATCCTAGTCTTCAGACGATAAGTAGTAAGAGCACATATATCGAAAGGTCAGGTTGTAGATTCTGAACTGTGCATATTCCAAATACAATAGTTGACTTTAATAACTAGAATAATGAATAGATTTGCTTCTCCGTCTTACCGCGTCTCTTCTTGGTATAATTGGAAAGCACGTCTGGCTGGCAATAGGGATGTTCTATGTTCGAGTCTCGGTCAGGACATTGCACATTTTTCATTTCTCCTGCGGCAATTTAACCTAATGGCATCTATAACTTATTGCTACTCCGTTCAGTTTTATGCAGTCAATTGCATGGAGTATATAATACAAATTTTAAACTACTGATTTAATATTAAATTTTTGAGATATCAGAAAACATTTTAAAATAAATATCAGGAGTATAATATGCACGTAAAAAGTAAGTGAATTTGCATTTATTATAAATTTGAATAATTTTAATTATAGAAGAAGAAACTGTATTTTGTATTACGTGTATTGTTATAAAAATAAAGGCAGATTATTTGCGTTCATATTAAGGATACTAAAGTTTAAATGAGAATTTAATTTCTTCAGATTTACAGAAGATGAAGAAGCAGAAGAGGATGATTCTAATCTAAGACGAGCAAAATCTATGGATATCAGTTTTCCGATAAAAAGAAGATCAAAAAGTGCAGACAGACAGTCAGGTGAGAAGATTTTCAAAGAAAGCCTAGTTTCCACATATTAATCGGAGCACTATAACTTCTTTGGCTGAAAGACTAAATGTTAATGCAAAATTTATTTCTTTCATATCACATATAAACAAATTTAGAGATTTACAAGAATAAAGAGCTTAATGTAAATTTTACAAAATTCATTACGTACAGCTAGATATTCAGTTTTACTAAAATGAATTAAATGATGTATGAATGTTCTTAGGAACTAGGGAATAAAGTGATATTTTTCTTAGTTGTTACATTACACAATTATAAAAAATATTTCCCTTTCTTCTTCGTTTCACTGATTATAAGCATTACATATGTAATTGTATATTTTCCATAAAATGGACAATTAGTAGTGTGTCTTAATATAATTCTTTAAATTATTTAAATTCATACTCCTGTAACATGATCAGGGATAGAACATTCTTATTCCACATTCAGATGTAAATTAATTTTCCTTTTTAGATCTCATGTTAATTATCTTAAATGCTGACACAGCTAATTATACACCTAGAGATGAAAAGCCATCATTCATGATTTTCATGTTAATTTTTAACTATAAGTGTATATCTTTTAGTATACAACTGTTCAAATAAATAATTTTATTTCTGTTTAAATTAGTTTAGAAATTTAAGACTTCTTTTCAATACTCTTAACTGAAATGTCAATTTGAAATTTTTTATATGAGAACAAAACATTAATGATGCCATTAAATATATAATTTAGGTAATGGCGAATATCAAAGAAAAAAAGTACTTCTCAAATTCTTGATTAAATTATGCTACAAGTCATACTTATAGATTTTAGAGCAAGAATAACAGCAGGGATTAATAAAACTGACACCCCCATATAGTATTTCCATATAAATAAGTGGTTGTAAGTAAATATAAAAGACCAATTTTGGTCAAAATCTTTTGCGCAATATGCTGCAAAAAAGATATAAAATATTAAAGAAAACTACTAGCTTTAATTTAGCAATAGTCCCTTTAATTCCTCACTTTAATTTGGCTATGTCCCATTCCTGTCTGTGATATCTAAAAATTTATCTGCATTGCGCCATTATGTAAAAGCAGTATTGTGGATACTTCTTGTCAAATCACAGTTTCAAAGTTTAAACAAGGAAATCAATTCTATGAATACCCTTTTACTGAAATGCCCAATAACTTTCTTACCTTTTTTTTGCCGTGCTGAGATGTGGTACTGCATAGTTCTGTTCTCTTTCTTGTCCATTATCTAAAAAATGTGATATGCTACAAAACGTTGTGGGAGTGCTTATTGCATTCATAATGGATGATGTGAAAAGATGAATATTTGTTCCCAAAATTAGTTATCAAGAAATAAAATTATGCGTTATATCTAAGACACATCTACTAAGTTCGTTTTCTCTGCCATGTGATCTTATGTATCTACGCTGTCTTCTAATCTACAAGTCATCTACAGAATTATTATATATATATAATTAAGGACGGAGGTTTAAACTCAGTCAGGAGTACCATTCCAACATTAACACATTTTGTTTTTTCATATCCTTCCAGAGTATTCAAAAGAACAAATTTTCCAAATATTTTTCTTTATAAAAATTCCCAGTACCTAAATTCGTAGTTTCTTTGTATATATATTTCTCTCCTATGTGTTCAATGTCAGATCAAAACTATAACTTTTAGTTATATTGCAATATTAATACATTTTAAAATTACGTTTTGATTGCCTGTTAAGAATAATTATTTATGGAATTACTGTGATACATGCTACTTTCTAAAGTTTCATATTCCAGCACGGCAATCTCTGAACCAATCAGATAGTGGCGTTTCAACTGTCCGGGATTCTTGCGAACCAGACGAGAATTGGGATATGTCCCCTCACAGCCCTGGAAATCGTCACGAGAGTGATGAGGGTGATGATGAGGAGGACGATGGCAGGGACACCCAAAAGAGTAGCAGAAGAGATTCCAGAACTCCTAGCAGGATGAGTCGGACATCATCTGTACAGTCACCTAGCTTGGACAAAGTAAAGTTATTCAATATAACAAATAAACTGAATAAACAATTGGATTAATTTAATAATTAAAAAATAATATTGTTTCTAAAAAGGTTAAACAATTTTTGAAATTATTTGCTGCTGAAGAAAAAGGGCATGTGTCTGATAACCCTCAAAATAGATACCGCTCTATTCAAAATCTTTCTAAACTTGTAAGGTGTTTCTCCCTCTTTTTACCGCGTTTCTTCGTGTTTTAATTGGAAAGTACATCTGGCTAGCAATCGGAAAGCTTCGAGTCCTTGTGAGGGCAATGCACCTTTTTTAAGTTTCCTGTTTTAAACAATCCTAATAACTCCACAAATTGTGGTTGCTTTTTTGCCTAATTTTAAATTTAACTTTGATGTGCTTCTCTCCCTACGTAAAGGATTTCTGATTTCTTTTAAGCGTCTTTATAAACATACGGACAGTCCGAAGTTTTCAAGAGCGTTTATTATTGCCAAGAGGCTGATGAGCACCTAACCTAACTTAGCTGTTCTGTCGATGACGAAAAGAAAGTAGTATTTATTGACTGAAGGCTCTTACTATTAACAGCTAGCCGTAAATTGCGGAATAAAAACGCATAATTTTGGCTATTTATTAAACTTTTATGTCTAAACTGTTCATAACTGCATAGATATCAGATACAAATGTAATATTAATAAATTTATTCAAGGCAACGAAATTTTTATCTGAATGTCTCAAAATCAAAACAGAAAATTTTACTTATTACGTCCCACTCTTTGGCCTTTTGAAATAGCATAACATCTTATAATAAACATTTAAATATTAATATAATTGAGCATCTTTCTATACATCTGCAAATTCAAAAATGTCAGATAATTTTCATTCGAATATTTCGTAATGATGTCAACGACAGCTAAATGTTAAAATTAATAATAGATATCAAAACATAACGTGGAAACTTGACATACTTTTTCGGTGTGTAAAATCTGCAGTTTAAATGCATAAAAGAGGTTATTATAACAAATCACTCTTATAGATGTTAATTAATCCAGATATCTATGCAGTAGAATAACGAAATTAAAAGCCAAGCCTACTATAAGACTGATTAGTAATTTCGTTGCACTTCAAATTTGTCTTCAAGATGCTGTTACCTACTTTTTCAGTTAGAGAAGAAATTGTGTAGAGTAAAAATACATTAATGAAATTTTTTCCTAGATTTGAATGAAGTAACGAGTTTATGTCTTTTCTTTTAAATGCAGAAAATGATAATCATCAAATCATGTGATGAAATCATGAAACTCATTATTATTTACTCGTCCTTCAGAGGATTATTTTGGAATATAATTTTAAAATTCAATATCTTTTCCGTATCCTTAATAAAAGATTAATTCTCTAAAAAGTGGATAAGAATTAGTTTTTATCTAAAGTACTAATTCTTAAGTGGTTGAATTATGTTATTTCTTATTATATCAGCGACATTTACAATATTACACAAACATTTTTCTAAGTAATTTTAAACCTAAATTATTGATCTTAGTTCAAAATTTGTGATAGTTGTATAATATTAAAAAAATGTACATTAAGAAACGGAACTATTTCCACGCTTGCATGCAGATTTCTCATATAAATATATCATAATGTCTATTTTTAGGTTTCCAAACTGGAAAGTAAAAATAGTAGTGGGGTGTCATTTCGAATGAAATCGTGTGCCAGCCAAGATTCGCTTCTCGATCCAGAAACGTTCCCCAGAAGAAAGATTTCTGACATCAAGAAACAACTAGGAATTGAAGACAAACCTGCCAAGTAAGGAACAGAAAACAGATTTAACTATCAGTATTCCTGGATTTTTATTATTATGTAAACATTTATATGAGAGAAGTATTTTTTGAATTTGGGCATCAAATAATTCAAACGATCATCGTACATTTGGATGATTTATAATCTAAGTAACTACCAATGTTAACAAATCTATATATTACGAATTTATATATTAGAAAATCATCGAAATTTATGGTCCTAGTGTACTAGCAAATGTAAACTTCGAAGAAAGCCAATTTTTTATTTTGAGGATTTTTATCTCCCAAATGGAGAAATTGTAATTCCTGGTTATTGATTATGGCGATATTTTGGATCTTAAAGCTTAAAAACAGTTAGTTACCTGTTAGCACTGCTTAAAATAGATTACAAAATGTTCCCTTAATAAATTTAATTCCTTAAATGTTTATGATTAAAAAATAAGACTGAATTCATTAGATGAGAAAAAATTGTATCTTAAGCAATTAATGAAGTTATAAAAGTATATATACAAAATATCTTTTTGCATTATATACTCAAATGAGACAGTAAACCGCTCTTAACAGATTTTTAAGGGCAACAAAACAAACAAAGTAAATATAAGTAAAAAAGAATTTACGATTAAGAAAATGTAACTGTGAAGTAAGAAAGAGACTTTAATAGATCAATCAATTGAAAAGGAGATTTATTTCTTCACATCTGTAGAAGTCTGCTTACAATAAAACCATTTACAATATACCAGAGATCTGTTGTGAAATATTCTATTAAATCATCGCACAGTTACATAGAATTAAAACAAATCATACTTCAAAAAGAAATTTTTCTCAAATTTGATATGTAATTGACTCTGAAACATCAAATAAATCTCAAAATAATTCCTTTTTCTTTTATCTTAGTTGGACCCATAGCTGGTCGCCAAATCCCCGGAAATGTTCTACTCCAAAAGAAAAACTTTCGCCTGATGGAACTCCAGAGAAAGGCATCATGCCACCAACTCCTTTACCGAGGACAAAAATGATCACATCAACGATTGACAACAAAGATAAAGTAAAAAAAAATTATTCTGTGCTTTAATAGTTACATATTCGAATGATGTAATTCGCAATTTTGGTGTGAAGTTATAATAAATAGTATTTAAACAACAATATCAAAGATTTTGTTTGATAAATATTAGTTTTATTTGATAAGTTTTTTTCCACTGCTTGCTACTCAACTAATTTCTTAGATTTTCAATATTTCGACAGATAACGGTTAAGTTTTTTTACAAGATTTTAATGTGTTAAGGTACCAATTTCTGTGAGGAAACTTTGTTAAAAAGACTTCGTTTATATTAAATATTTCTTGGGATTAATAATAACTACCACGAATTCAATGAACAGACAGCATCAGAAATTCTAAAACGCTGTCTCTTTCTAGGCAGTATTTGTCAAAATTCAGAAGTTCAAGATTTGAATTTATCGAACCAGTTAGGGCTTCCTACACTAAGATGCACTGAACTCTACTTTTACGCGTTCTTTTTAATATTCCCATAAAACTTAACACTTGGAGTAATTGCTGCATATGAAAACATAAATTTAGAAGTTTCCATGCTTCTGCAAAACATTTTCGCATATTTTTACTTAAAATCTTTGACTGTGTAGAAAGTAAAAGTTAGGGCGTGCTACACTAAGATGCACTTAACTCTACTTTTACGCGTTCTTGTTAATATTCTCATGAAACCTAATACTTGGAGTTATTGCTGCAAATGAAAACATAAATTTATATGTTTCTGCAAAACACCCCCATTGTTGCATTGTATATGCACCCCCATTTTTATTTAAAGGGGAGTTTATATGTTTCTGCAAAAAAATATCGCATATTTTTGCTTAAAATCTTTGACTGTATAGAAAGTAACATGGTGGAAAAAATATTGCAAGGCAAAAAAGGTTGCCGTTTAAAACTTCATGGGAGAAAAGAAAGTAATAAGAAAACATTGTAGTTCCAGAACATAGTGGTAGAAAATAAAGCAATGTTTTTGCAGCTTGAAAATATCGTAGTAAATGATAAATCATCTATAAGTCATCGCATGATGATAACATTGCAAACATACATTTTCTGACTGAAAAAAACATTTAATGAATTTCCACTTAATGATTTGCGAGAAGAAAAGAAGCAAGTGATATTTTTACTTCTATATTGACTTATAAAATTTTAACTGAAAAAATGAAGAAGAAAACTTAAGCGTTAAAAATCTGGAAATTAGTAAAATTTAATGCTACGTGTAGCAGCTACGTATGTTGCTTCCTTTTTTCTAATTTTTTAATACTACTATATTTATTTTTGAAAATCTGCTAAAACGTCTTTGTAAAAAAGTTAGTTAAAAATGACTTCTGATAGTTAGGAAGGTAAGTTGAAAATTCTATTAACTGCTACATGTCGTATTAATATCTAATAATTTCCATATTTTGAATGTTTAAGTTTCCTTTTTGCTTTTTCAGAAAGCATTTGTAAATTGAGAGAAAATTATAAAACACAGTTAAAAATTATTACTTGCTTCTTCCAGCGCTCACTGAGCATTCGGAAATTCATTTCCGAAATTTTATATTCGAAAATTTTATAGTCATAAAACACATTTCTGTAATGATCATGCAGTAATTTGTAGGTGCACTATTTTTTACCATAATATTTTATACAGCGATTGTTTAAAACAGTGAAGATTTTGCTTCGAAATCGTTTTCTACCATTGTTTAAGAATTGCGATGTTTTTCTCCTTGTTTGCTTTATTCGCACGATGTTTTGTACGATTGTACATTTAGGTTTTCCATATGTACCATGTCTTCTATTCCTTTTTTCCTCCGCGACGTACTCATATGTGATGTTTTCGCCGACCTACATTTAGACATAAGTCTCTCGATACGTCCCATAATCGTTTGTTTGCTGTTATTAATTAAGTGCCGTAATAGTACTTAATGTATACAAGAATACTTAATTGCATTTTTGATTCTATATATCGTAAAATTTTCCGACAGTTTTTATATCTATCAGATACATCTCAAAGTTTGATATCTTTTACAGAAAATCATTTTTTATTAAAGCTCTAGAAAAGTTTTGGAAATCTAACTCCCAGCTTAAGCAAAATAACAGAGTTTCAATGTAATTTCACACAAGCAATATTCAGGACATTTTCTGATAAGACACATATAAGTGGTTACTTCAAGAATTATATCATGTCTCGGGATTTCCAAGAAGTTAGTTTCCTTCTGTATGCTTTTGTTTTTACTTGAGTCATGATTATCAGCCTGAAAACGATAGACTTTTATTTCCTTTTTAGGAGGAAACAGACAGAACTGAAGCAAGCAATTCAGAATTAAATAATAATTCTGTAGAAGAAAGCGATTACGAATACGAGCCGACTGGTCCAGCCGAACAGACATTTAAAGTAATATTTGTAGGCGATGCAGGAGTAGGAAAGTCTTCTTTTGCTCTTAGAATTAGTAAAGGTGTATTTGTGAGACACATGAGTTCCACTTTAGGTAAGATATCGTACCATTTAATAGAACCGATTCATTTATTCAAAGCTGTATTTTCAAATTAAGCAATATAAATTAAATTCTTGTAAACTGTATTGATAAATATATTAAATGTAACTAAGATTAATGGTAATACATGCACAAAAAAAGGTTTAATTTGTTAACAAAATTATTGTCATTTTTCCTCACATTTTACTAACTTTTTGTATCTTAGATACGAACTAAAAATGGAATGTGAATGCAAACGATACAGAACTATATTATGAAACGAATAAAATTAAAATAATATGCGATAATGAGATTGTAAGTTGAATATCACATAAATAAATTCAGATTAATAAGAAATGTGATATCCGCCTAATTCTGCGCATGTTGTAAAATCCCTTGTAACCGGCACCCAGTTAGCGAACAGTATCAAAATAACAGCACTTTTTGAAGTCTACATTTAAATTCCAAATTTAGGCCTATGAGATAAACAAATGCGATGGGCAATCTAAAGACTTGAAGACATTGTTTCTCCTTTGTTCCTCGTCATCTAGTTGGATAACCAACTAGACAATCAAGGAATTATCAAGAATGTAAAGATGAGACACTGATCCTTTTTTACGCGTTCATGTGTGAACTTTGAAAGTAGTGTCTAAGATTTTCAGAAAACGCTCGCTCTGATGGATGCTACATTTATTTTGTCTCTCTCCTAGTATATCATGCTCAAAGGCTCATAGGCTACCGACAGACTTCTTTTGTTGCAGTTTCTACATATGGCATCAAGAAAGATGAGCAAGTCGGTTCTAGAAATGCATGCTTAATTATCCTGAAAAACTTACCTGCGCGGTCCTGTAGCTGCCGGTTGAAAGAGATTCTACTGTATATAAAAATGCAATTTCGTATTCCAAGAAAGTTTCGTATTCCAAGATAACCTGATTAGTTAAAGCTTAAAGTTAGGCATAGATTTCAGGTCTCCTGTTTTTTAATCAAATCAGGTACATCTTTTATTTTTTACAACCTATCTCGATGCAAAACGTTCTACTATCCGCTGAAAACTTAGTTGTCTAGTCCTTGTGCTGCACCTACTACGAGCAGTGACAGACAGATATTTAATAGTTGTTTTTCAACAAGGATGTTGTCAAAAACTTCCTAGAAACAGATTCAAAGATTTTAAATTATGGCCAGAGAGCAGGGATTGTCTTTCTGGAAGCAGTCAACCATCTAGCCATTTCTATAACTGTCTGTCCTTTCTAATGACCAATAGTTACTGACTTCTCAATTTTTCTAAATGATTTCTAAATGAAATTCTTCCCTGAATTAACAATTTTCGACTCGAATTCAAAATGATTCATCGGAAACGTACTTTGAACAAAGTGCTCGTGACTTTTGAATTTTTGTCATTATTTACGGTTTAGAAAAAAAAAAAAAAAAAAACATTAGTCAAATTGAATTGATAATGCTAATAGCGGTTTGCCTCTTGCTTGTAATATAAATAAATTAGATTGACTTTCTAGAGATTGCTAAATGTTTTTGGAGTTTGGAAACGTGAGAAATCAACTGTGTTTTTCATGGCATTCGAATGGAAAGTCTTTCAATTGTTCGTTGAGTGTACTGATGATCATGAGTTATCATCCAGTACATGTTTAAATTCGGATCTACTGTGTAGAATACTTATCTTTTGAGTGATAGAAATGTCAGCTTATAAGGTATTTCTCCAGCCTTCTCAGCGTGCCTTCGTGGTTTAGTGGTTCTGCACGATGGGCTGGTATTCTAGAGGCCTGTGGTTCGATTCTCGGCGAAGGCAATTGCTCATTTTTTCATCTTGCCTACTTCAAAAAAAAATACCTAATGTCTCTAAAAGTTAATTGCTAGTTGGACATGGTAACCACTTGCGCTACAAGAGCACGCATGGAGGAATGCGATAATTCCTTTAAAATGTATGAAATGTAAGTATTTTTATGTACATAAAAATAACGTTAGACACCAAAACAATTTTGGGAGGAATATTTTTAATTTTTCAATGATTTCAGAATTTTTCAGCGAACCATCTGTGTCAAGCGTTTGTTTAATCGCCAGTGTCAAGACTTTTTTCTAATATATTATAGTTAAGAGTGATTTAAGAAGAGTTTCAGAAGATTTTTTTTATGTGGCAACAATAAATACTCTTACATCAGATCACAGAATGCAAAAAAAAAATCTGGAATGTAGAATATTCATTATAAGGAGATGTCGTCTACACTACTCTTTATTCTCAGATCGAAAGATCCGCAGTTCGAATCTCGCCGAGGGCATAGGTTATTTTCTCACGCTTCCTGCTGTGGACTCTACAGTGGGGTCCGAACAGAAATGTGGTGGAGGATGATAAGTCACCAACTAGGATTTGCTCAACTGGTCTGTCGTTCTACTTTGTCTTAGTCATCGAATTCAAGTGAGAGAAAATGTGAGGAATTTTCGCCTTCCCCACTGCTCATTGACATGGTGTAACTAGTGTCAAGTTCGGTTAGTCAAAAGATGCAGAGGTGGAATTTCAGCTAGACCATTGCTGAATTTTCGTATTTCCGGTTTCAGAAAATCTAACAGACTCTACACCATTACAGTGGTAAACGAAATGCGCATTATTTTCAGTAAAAAACCGTTTTCCAAACCATTTGACAAAAATCATGCATATAAACACCCAGACAGGGGGAAAAAGTATTTCCTCTCTTATCGATAATTTTTATCGAATTATTATAAAGGTAGCTTGAGTACGAGGTAGTCGTATATAAGTAGTCTAAAGTTGCATATGTAGATAGGTAGAATATGTTAAAATATTTTCTTCGTACTTTTGTTTTAATAACATATTTTGTAAAAGCGTAAATTTATAATGTTTACATACCTTTGTAGTAGAAGAATGTAAAAAGAATAAATTTCAGGTTTTCTGTACAGCATTTTTTCTTGTCTTCCAGAGCATCTATTTCGATGCCCGTTTTCATTTTATAAAGGAATAATTTGTAACTGTAACAAAGGAATATTTGTCCACGGTAATGAAATTTATATTTTGTTACCATTTAGGAATTGATTTTTTGATGAGAACAATTCGTGTGGATGGTCGAAATGTAGCAGTGCAGTTATGGGACACTGCGGGGCAAGAAAGGTATGGCTAATACATTAAGCACATTTGTCCATTTTTAACTGACTTAAATTGCCTTTCAGTTTTTAATTTGGTGGTTTATAAAAACGTATATATTTTTAAATATGCAGAGTCGTACTTATAGCTCTTTGCATATATTGCCATAGTGTGTACAATTCTTTATCAGAAAAATATATCTTTTATCTACCTTAAAATTCAGAACTTCCTAGAGGAAGACGTAGAATGTCGGGTAACGATATACTATCATAGATCAGTTATTACAGTAGAACTATTAACGAAAAGGACATTTTGTTACGAATGTGGCAGACAGAAAGCGGATATAGTTACCATATATTAAAATTAGCATGTAATCAATTTTTTATATCTACAATAGTAAAGTTATTTCATTAAAAAGAAAGTAATTATACTAATTAATGTATTGCATTAAAATTATACATCAGAAAACAAATGCTACATTATGATCGATATTAAAAAATTAATAATATATAAAGATCAATAAGTTTGAAGGGTTGCTATTATATCTGGAAAATTAATTTAAATTCTATAGCAGACCGTGCTAGATAAGATAGCAAGTTATCGCCACGTCTTAAAAACTCACAGATACAGAAGAAGGTTTAAATAACCTTTTTATTTAGCCTCAACTCACCAGATGCAGATAAGTGACATATGGAAAATCACTTATGGCTCTTAAAATTAACAATAACTTACAGTTAAACATAAACTTTGATATCGTAGTCTAAGACAAAGCATTCGATAAGTTGGCTGAAAGTATATTACCAAAGTGCAAGTCACAACAATCAGCTCTGCTAAAGCGGAATATTAATTTTAAGTAGAGCTGGCGGGCTAACAGAGCAATGACAAGTGGCAGAAAATCTCTCTTTGTAAGATTTCATGTTCCGATGAATGGCGTTGATTAACTTGCAAGCTTAGAAGTTTTAATCCAGCTATCATAAGGTCGGAGTTCCGATGAGTGCATGAAGCGCATGAGTTCGACCGGAGGACTTCAGTTTAAATACTGTCAAAGTCAATTTGATTTCTGGTGAGGAATGCGGAAGTAAGAAGCTATAGTAAAGATCAGAATCATAATAACGGATAATTAACATAACATAGGTTACACGTTCTTGGCAGAAAAGCTAATTAATGAGATGGTCAGTTGACTAGACCTGACCAGCATATCAATTCACCATTTTTATGAGAAATGGTCAGTTGTATAAGCTGTTTTGATAATGATGAGCGCTGCCATTCTGAAAACTATGAATCACTTGTAAATTGTATGGGTGTACTTTGAATGAAATGCACAATATGACAAATAATAATAATAACAATAATAAAAAGAATAGAAAATTACGCCCAAAGTAGAATTTTTTTTATTTACCACAAGTGCACGTTTTGAGAGCATTTGGGCTAATGACCCTTTGGGCTGAAAATATCAAAAAACAGCATATCTTTAGAATTTCCGCTAGACAGTCTCGCGCTCTGGAGATAAAATTATTTTGTTACATATAGTGTGTTGCCACTGCTCGCTTTGAAATTGTTGAGTTTCTTAAGCAAAAATTTGTTCAAGTTTAAAAGCTATGAAATAGATAATAAAACAAATAATAAAACAAAACAAAAAATTTAAGATTCGGGCTTCCAGGTGCCCATATTCGGGTGGAAGACTACGTTATTCAAAATTTTATGAATCTAAATATCGCTGTTTTTTCACGAGTGAGAAACATACATACATTCATGCAAATTCTTCATCATTTAATTTCGTTAAATATAATGCAGAGCGATAATATTTGGTGGCAACAATTTGAAAAGTAATACGATCGTTTACAGTGATTCGAAGCAAAATGCAATTTCAAGACTAATAGCTTTTCTGCTCTAACGCCCCTTTAGGTTAATAATAATAATAATGTCCCATTAGGCTAATAATAATAATAATTATGCTAAAGGCATAAATTAACAGCATTCCTTTGCTTCAAAATATTAGCAGCGGAAATAAATTATTTTCGTATTTCTCACAGGAAATCATTTTTGTTTGTTGAAAAATCAGTATCTCTTGCTACTTCACTTTATTTATTAAAAAGGAAACTGACAGCACTAGAAGGGGAAAAAACACAAAACACATTAAATAAGCGTTTTTTTGGAAAGGTACTAGAAAAAATACCTTTTATTTTTTTAAGAAAGAAAATTAAACAAATAACTGCAAGAACTAATTTCAATCTTTATTAAATTAGATTACAAATTGAAAGGCTGTGTAAGAATAAATATTTTATATCTAAATAAATTTAAAATATTTTTAATCTAAATAAATTTAAAATATTTTTCGAAACTTACTGCAGAATATTTAAAAACCATTATTTTTATATTAATGTATGATATTTTTTAGAATTGTCTTCTTGCAAATATTTTGGCTCACATATAATGTTTTTAATTTTCCCTTATATTTCCCCTTAAAGATATTTCAGTAGCACTTTCATACGCATGAAAAGAACCTTTCTTATTTTATGATTTTTTTATTTTCATTATTCAGTTCCAGACGACAGTTTTTCTCAGTATCGATTTCTTTATAATTTTTCCTACTTTTATTCACATGGAAATAAAAAGTTGTGATTTTATCTAAAATATACCCGTTGGCTTTAAATATATCCGCTCTTCTAAAAATATACCCATTGGCTTTAAATATACCCGCTCATCTAAAAATATACCCGTTGGCTTCTGGGAAATAGATTTATCTTAAATAATTTTATACTTCAGTTTACATAATCCAAAATAACGTATTTTAAAGGAAAACACCGAGGTAAGGGATTTCGAAGTTTGTTAATTAATTAAGAATGCTTCCAAAGAGAATAAAAATAGGTTATTAATAAGTATATTATTAAGAAAGTTCATGAGAAGAAAACAGTTATGTTTCATTACAATGAAATATTTAAATTTCACAGGCTTTGATGGAATCTCTGTTTGCTTGTAAATTATAGTAATCGCATTATAATAGTTTCTTCACTTACAACTTTTATGATTCTCCACTGTGTATTTCTAAGTTACTGTTGGAAGTGAAGAATCTAAGAACTGATAGCGAATAATCGCTTGAGTTCGTGTGAACAGAAAACATAAAATAGAGGGTAAAATAACCCTTTATTATTCCAATAAAGTTAACAAAACCGTCTGGAGTTGTACAATAAGCCAACATTTGGGCTTGAACTTAAGAGACTAAGAATTAATCTAAACTAATCTTAACTAAAGAGATATAGCCGAAGCTATCAAAATTATAACAGAGTTGGCCCCTTAACGTTAATTGACTGCAAAGCTATCAAAGGCCTAAAGTACGGCCGAGCATAATAATAGCTTACGAAAGAGTAAAAGGCGGACGCGTGCAACCAGAATATCTGGTATCTCTATCTCCAAGGGCCCACCAGCGGCCGAGCGGTAAAGTCGCTGAACACTGGTAGTTCGGTCCGAGGTTCGAATCCCGCGAACGAGCTGACTGCATGGGCGTTTTCGTGGTTTTCCCCATGTGTAACGTGTATACGAGCCAGTTTCCCTTAGAAAGTACTCCACGAAGGCATCCCTCCCCTTAGGCAGATAGCCCTAGTGTGCTTTGCCATAATTAAATAAACCAAACCAACCAAACTATCTCCAAGACTGTAGAACTTCGCGGTTATATACCGCTCTTCCTCATTAGCATTCAGACGTCATTCTAAAACTACGCTCTGGTCGGAAGTGGTAAGTTGAAATTAAGAATTGATAGTATAAGGTATTTCTGCCACTTCCCTGGGCCGGTATTCCAGAGGTCCGTGGTTCAATTCCCGGCGAAGGCGATTGCATATTTTTCATCCTTTCTGCTTCCAATTAACCTAATGACTCTACAATAGGAAAGGAAGTTTGACTCAAAATTTAACTGTTAATAAAATTAACATAATCCTTACAAACTAACATGATTAAAACAGTTGAAAATATTTCATAGATTTTTTTAAGACAACATGATGTTTTTGCCAAACATTTCTTATTCCCAGTTTCACACTGCTTTCATCCATCCATCCTTTTTCGTGAACATGAACCGTTGCCGCCGCGTCTGGCTTGCCTTAATATGCAAGCTGCAGACAGGCTATCGTAGCATAAGTGCTTCGAGGTGCGATGCAAGTACAGAAATTTTTGAGTGGGCCTAGAGAGCAGGATGAAGATTGGTGACTCCTTTGTCACGCGAGGGACGTGAAAAAACATTTTTTACAGAATTATAAAGTACATGAAACATAAAATACATATTTTCCCCAGAAAATAGACAGCGATTTACATAATATTTACAAGTATATACATTTCGGCATCAGCTTTCCTTTAAAAATAACTATCGGATTCAATTTTGTACCGTCCGCTAAGCAGGAAAACACTACGATGAGGTGAGATGTTTCGTGACCTTTTAATTTTATGTGAACCTTTTTGTTCCTTTCACATCAATTATTTTATTTCCTAGCATATCAAATATTACTGGCGTTTCATATACATTTCCAATACGTGACAGCAAATAATTTTTTTGCCTTCGTAGGTCAATAACATACTTCTGGAAACTTACCAATTTGTTGCCCAAATCTTTCAGAAGCCTTTGCGAAACGTTTTTTTCTTCATAAAACTAAATTATTCCGTGTTATAAATCGATTACACTAACTCAAAGTTGCTTTGAAGTTTTCACTATCATCTGCTTTCTTTTCTGCCCGTTTGAAGCAAATAAATATATGCTGTTTCTGGTTACAATTAATCCATTCCGGCGATTTTCTAGGACCCATTTTGCAACATTTTTTTCCAAGATAAGACTTATTCTTTCGCAAAAAGAATATTTATTTTTTGGCATATATTAATTTTTCTTCCACTCACATATGGAGCTTTCACGAATATCAAATATCCCTGCTGAAGTACGATATCCACTGTCTTTTGCAAATTGAATGACTCTGCATTCGAAACCAGCAGTGGGTTTGTTCCGTTTAGCAGGAGCCATATTTAATGAATATGGAAATAAAAGGAGCACTAGATCAACTGCATTTCAATTAAAACAAATTAGCTTCGAAATCACGGCTTCAAATGACTATAGAAAGAAAAAACAGCTGATTCTAATTCCTCGATTTCATTCGGGCCAGAAGTGTATTCTTGTTCCAAATTATGTTCCACTTTTCTCAAAACCCTAGAATAACATTCTTGTGCACATCTGCATTGAATACAAGTCACCCTCTTCGCAGACTTGTTTACTACATCAAGCATTTTTCCCACGCACACATTGTTCCCTGATCGCTTGTCAGTTCAGTACGCCATAGTTTGAAAGTCTGAGAAAAAGATCGGATGACTTCAAAAGATACGAGCATCGCTGAAGCATCTTTCAGGTTGCCTTCTAAAGATAAGTGTGAGAGATATACCTACAAATTAAAAACTGTAGTTTAAATTTATAGGTGCGCGTTATACACCAGCGCACATTTATATTTGTCGTTATATATGGTACCTATGAAACCCGTCGCTCTTTTTTAACGATAAAAAATATTTTATTGTCTTGACATGCGACTTCGAGAATTCCGTTTCTCTCCCACTGAAAGTGAAAATTTATCACCTTTACTAAAATTTCCCTAAATCAGGTTCCTCTTTTTTTTTAAAGAATTATTACCTCAAAATAGAAGGACGTGTTATAGGAAAATCTTGAAATATCCAATGTCTGCTGCTTTCATATTCATAAGCAATACAAAATTTCTTGTAAATTAAAAAGCATAATCTCACAAACAGTTAAATAGAACATTTCAACTGCTTCAAAAATGCTTGCATAAAACTATCTTTCACTTCTCAATCAGGAATTAAGAGCTGAAGAAAAATTATATAGAAAAATAGATAGAAAAAACTGACATTTTTTTATTTTAATCTAATTAAAAACAGTTTAATATCTACTTAAGAAATAGAATTATCGAATGCGTAAATTCTAAGAATAAAAGCATCACGAAGTTTTAAAGAATGTCGTCATCATGGGTTAAATTAATTGATAGAAAACAGTTAAATATTTTGTGGCAAAGTTTGTCTTTAATAATCGTGACTAATACAATTTTTTGCTTATTTTACAGGTTTCGCAGCATAACTAAATCATATTTTAGAAAGGCTGATGGTGTAATGTTGTTGTATGATTGTACTTGCGAACATAGCTTCTTAAACGTCAGGCAGTGGGTAGAAGATATAGATGTAAGTTTCATAAAACTATGCAGAAATATGCATTTACATTTTCTAAGGTCAAATGATAATACAATTTCTAAATTGAAGAAAATCTAATAAAGAAAAATGAAGTTTTCAAAATAAGGAATTTCTAAATAATATGTTGGAAATAAGAAGTTGTATTTAAAGTAGCGTTCTATAATAAATTAAATCACATCATAAAACGTATATCATAGAATTTCTGAATATTGTGTATCTAATTAATTCTGTATTATGTTGGAAATAAGAAGTTGTATTTAAAGTAGCGTTATATAATAAATTAAATCACACCATAAAACATATATTATAGAATTTTTGTATATTATGTATCTAATTTATTAGATGTTAAAATTTAAGCAATTTAATCCTTTAAAATGTTACTTCATGTACTGAAATTAAAACAAAATTATAGGCTTTTAAAGTTTTTAATAGGCTTATGGCATTTAATTCTTTAACAGAAAAAGGTGTAATATGAATTTAGTTCCTATTTTGCAGTAAAAAAACTAAGATTAAAAGAAAATCCAACTTAAATTCTGATGATATATTTTTACACTTAATGACCCAGCTACGACCAGAGTACAGGTAATATGCTCATTAAATAGGTTCAACAGAATGATGCATTTTATGAAACGTAAGAAAGGGATCAACTTGAAGCTGCCCATTTCGCAACAAATGCTGTCTTATCTTCGTGAAAATCGAGGACGGGTCTGAAGACCTCATCCCTTGACATGAGATCCTAAAAACATATAATTCAAATATTGAACTCTGCGTGTCCAATTCCTCGATGTCGTAGTTTCAAACTTAAAAGAAATTTTTGATACACTGAATTCAAAGGAAGAAAATATTAATCCCATTAAAAGAAAATCAAAATGGCAAATAATTTCCCTTTTAATAAAGCTTTCATAAGACTTTAAACTTATTCCTTTATCACTGCATGGCGAAGATTCGTTTTCTAGATGGCATTTTCAGAATTATTTTATAAAAATATTTCACTTCATTTAAACGAATACTTGCCGGATGATCTACAATTTTTTTAACACGAGCTGTTATGTGAGAATATTTCAGAGTATTATTCGAATAAATTAATAGGAATTGCACGGAATATCAACAGCAAAAATTCTGAAGCCTATTTGACAAGGAAAATACATTCTACACGATGTTTAAAAATGCACTATATCATCAATCAAAACATAGAAATTATCAAAAAGCATTATGAAACTATTCATAGCTAATATTTTTATTACTCGTAATTACATAACAAATGAAGCATTTTAATGACAAAAGGTAAATGAGAAATACTTGACAAATTTAATGTTAAATATATTTATAACCACGAAAACGAGCAAAGATGAATAAATTCTGAAAGTTTCCAACGTGAGCGTACCTGCGCATTTCCATAGTTCGTAACGTTGAGGAAGAAAGCAATTCTTTTTCTGTCTTTAGCCTAAAATGAAATTTTAAAATAACATCTAGCATGCAAAACTTTGAATAGCTCAACTGTAACCATTAATTGACAGTATCAGATTATGGTATCAAAATTCAAATGACAGTATATTTATTTACGATTAGCTGTCAAGTTTCTCATTTAAAACCCGATATCAAACAACACATATATTGCTTTAAGGAGCAGAGTGTGTCTGGGGCACATAAAGATCGTAGTGACTCTCATCATTTACGCCCATAACGTGTGCCATTTTCACCAAAGAGAGGAGATTACGGTATTTTAACAAATTAGAGGACTCTATCATCTTTTGTAGTAGTCGCTACCATGGTTACCAGGCAAACCAGAAATTAAAAAACGGCCCTAAAATTCCTAATTTAAAGTCACAGTTGCAGTCAAGTATATTTTTGTAACTTAACTCCCTTAAAATACTGCGGTAAAACTATTTGCACTAACACTGGACAGGAACTGAGGTTTAAAACCGCAACTGCTTTCAGCTTTTTTATGCCTTTTAATTTAATGAATAATGCATTTATAAATTAAGAAATATTTTTTCCTTGCATGCCACTTCCTATAGGTTTTTGACAACTTATACTTTCTCTAGTTCATTTTTAACCTGTTATGAACTGCATGCATCTTGATTTTGGACTAGTATGATCGCTTCGATGAGTTTGCATGAATTAATTTGATACTAAAGATGCTTTGGCAAACTTAAATTAAGGAAACAAAATTTAAGGGTGTGTGTGTGTGTGTGATTATAGCAAAGCCTCGAGGGCTATCTGCCTAAAGGGAGGGATGCCTTCGTGGAGGACTTTCTAAGGGAAACTGGCTCGTATACACGTTACACATGGAGAAAACCAAAAACAAATTTAAGGATTTTCACCCTTAAAATTTGAAATAAGAAAAATTTTTCATTCTAAAGTATCTGGTACATTTACTTGACACTCAGTTGCCCGACAGCTCGATAGGTACATTTGATCGACAGGTACATACAGTAAGTAGTAGCCTTTCCGTCTGTTTTTTTAGGGACTTGGGACCTTTCAGGAATTTTAGTTTATTTTTAGGTAGCATTAATGCTTTTTCCTTTCGGTATGTATGTGTTTTTCAAATATCCCCTACAAGGGTTTCACATTTTTAATGATCTATAATGCAATATTGTGTGCAATACCACGCAAAAAATTTCGTTCGATTTGTTTTATCGTTAAAGAGAGTGGTGATGCGTTTTTCTTGTACGAGTATTCTTTGCGAGTGGACAAAGAGCACTCTCGAGAATCATATCCTCTGTTCTAACCTGCCCTTGTAACTATTCCTTTCTAAGCTTATCGATTATTGTGTAAATACCAACATAAGATTTTCTAACAAGTATTTCAAAATTGGGCTATACTTCGACTCGATTTTGTATTCTCGAAATGCTAAAATTTACGAGATCGTATATGGGCCAGAAATCTGGAGGGTATAAACGAGGACTTTAGTAGTCCTTCCATTATTCGTATTCCACCTGATTTTACCGTGTACATAACTATCCTCTAACCAATGTGCTATTCCATTTACTTCGGAAATAAGAGGCTTTATCTTACCAAATGCAGATGGAATATAGCCTGACGGAAGAAAAGTAACAGCTGGGAATGTGTTAAAGTTTCAAACTAAAACTTCCAACTTCGTCGTACCTTTTAGCAAGCTATAACGTCTGAATGTGTGCAACACACGTTGTCATAAGTAAAAGAAACACCTTTTAATAGAGGCGTCTGGGAATTCGCTAGAAAAATTATATTGCTGCTTTTTCAGAATAAGTGATAATGAAATTAAGATTTAATACGAGGTCATGTTCAATAGCAAAGTCTATCGAAATAAATGAGTCTAACACTCCTCTTTGATTCGTTGGTCATTAAAGAGGTAGCACTTTTGCATTTTCACTATTTCTAGCTGGGGTTCGGATGGTATGTCAAAGATTCATCCAACATGAGTTTGGATATAAAAAAAGGTCTTCGAACGATTTTTGTGTCCTTTCATAATTCAATAAAGGGCTTCTTTCCAACAATGAAACTTTCTTTTTGTACGAGAACAAGAGTATGCGTGCATTGTTAAAAGGATGAATAACTTATTAGAAATTTTTCATACCCAATAGTCCCAAGTTCTAACGGAATATTAATATTTTCTGAAGTAGTTGGCTGCAGTAAATTAGTAAAACTTCTTTACGAGCTCCTATAAACTTGACAAAAAGCATGGCGACTAAGCATTACAAGATGACTTTGCTCTGGGACAGAATTAGTTTCCTCTTGATTAATTTGCGCTAGTGTGTCGCGAGTTTAGTAGGCCTGTCATTTAACAACTTAAGTTTATCTACTTATACAGAAATATCTTTTTTTAGCAATTGGTTCCCAAGATGATGTTTTCTAGCTACAAGTACGGGGTGCAATTCAAGTTTTGAGCTTTTCGCAACGTAAATAACACAAACCATCTCTTATTTTATCTTTTTGCATCAAATAATCATCGACAGTTAACTCAGGTTCACCCATTTTGAAGACAGAACTTTTCACATCTAAACTGTTTATCAAAAGCAATATAAACATTAGCCATTAAAGCATCCGCATAATACCTGACAAAGACTGAAACAGAAGAGACAGGAAGAGGCTAAACGAATGAAGTAGAGTGTAATGTTCTACATTTCGTTTTAGTTTCATTCAACAAGTTTATAGATTACTTTGTATAAATTAATCAATTATTATAATTTAAATCTTTACAACAACGCTTCCTTTCCGTAGTTCTCCCCAGAATGCAAATTAGTCGTTTTGTGCATTTATGCTAAGGGTCTGAAGGTTTAGATTAGAGCTTCTGGCAACGGCGTCTTGCTGTTACTATCGCCAATTCTACTTGGCTGTATTCCGCCTTTAGCGTCTTGCTAGCCCCTGTTTTAAAGTACACGCCGTTAAATATCTGAGCCAGCTTGAATAGTCTTTGATTATGTTACCTATATTAAAATTTAACTTTATGTTATGTTAATTTAAATACCCGCAATTAATGGGAGTTCGTCTGTCGCAGAAGTAGTGCCTTTCTGTTCATTTAAATGAAAAGTTCATTTAAATAAAAATTTCATTCTGTTCATTTAAATAAAAAGTTCATTCTGTTCATTTAAATAAAAAGCTTATGTTAACCTTCGTTAGACTTCGAGATTTGTTTGAGACTAAGCGATAACACGCTATCAATCTAGTAGTGAGAAACATTCAAGGGAAGGGCAGCGATGCTAACAGAGGTAAGGGTATAAAAAACGGGGGAAAAGGAGGTTTCACCAGAAATGCAAAGTATGAATCAAATATTCACAAATTAAATAACTGCACACATATATTTAGGGTGATTTTTATGAAGTATAATAATCTGCCTTCTACAGTAGTGAATAAAAAAGTAACCTGTCGAGTAAACGTACTCGTCGGGCAACAAGAAGTAGGTTAAGTAGTGTCCGAAGAGATGATGAGATTCTAAAGACGTCATATAAACTCCTCACACATAGACATATGTGTGACTGATTTTTTTTCTCATGGAATATCTATTCTAAACACAGATAGTGTGATAAATATTTGCCATACACTTCAAAACAGCATAAGAATTCTTTTTAATAAAATACATTTCTTTTAACATTCAAAAGCAATAAATCAAGTTAACACAACTCTAAATAAGTAAGATAACAAAATTTCGAAGGTTTTTTTGAGAGCAGAACATATCATCTCTTCCTAAAAATGCTAATCGAATTATTAGAGAGTATTTCAATCTGCTCTTCAGTTTTTAAATCTAAAATATGTTATTATTCCTAAATTAATATGAAGTTATTAAAAAAAGCCGCAATAAATTCTAAAAAGATCCCACAAGAAAATTTCTTTGTTTTTTCCCTCTTATTTTGAATTTTCTTTAATAACCTCTTTTAATGCAGCAACACAATTTTTTTCATACGGTTTTGAAATATGTGTAAAATTTGGTCTTATAGGTGTCCTGTTTCTACAGCATGATGGCTGAAAAAACACCTTCGGGCAGGGTAATAAAATCTTTCAGACTATAACCCATTCCACTCATTTCTTGGGCTACTGTGTCCTTGCACAAGGTGAAGGGTCTCATTATGTAACAGTTTGCATGCTATCTTTCCCGAAGTTTTGCACAGATTTTAGTGCTTAATTCGTTATGATAATCTAATTATTATGAACTGAATTCATTGACAATTATTTATCCCACAGGCAAACTCCCTAATAAATACTGTATGTTTACAAGTGTAACGAAGAAATTAGTTTAGAATAAATTTATTTGATCATGCATTTGAAACAGAAAGCTTAAAACTACTTTGTCTCAAGTACTGTGCTTTTAGATCCTCTTGTTTGTTTTACCTGTTCTTGTTTTTTCATGTGAAATATATGCAATGGTGTGCAAAATTAAGTTGTTACTTACGCATTATACATCAGTAACAAGGTTCAATGAAAATACGAAGGATTTTGAAAAGTTTAGAAAGCAATTACACAATTTAATCATTGCTATGTTACATTTTAAATCAGAGGAATTAATTATACAGAAGGAGTGACTGCCAATTAAAATATCTTCAATACTTTTAATAAAATCATCTATGGTCACCTTAAATGGTTATGCCGTACTTGAAGTACATTTTTATAGACTTAGATTGTTTTAATCTTGTAGAATGAATAAATGCTTCTTCAAAGAAACCAATTTAATCACTTTGATTTTGAAAGAAGACAGCTGGAATTCTGCGGCTCTGGCTTCTAAGGTTACTTTAATTTGTTTAATGAGAATCACAGTTCAAATACACTGGCAAATCCATTCGAATAATATCTTCCGATCCTAGATACTAATTCACTAAATAACCATGTTGATGCTGATTGCTATCATCAGTAACATTAAGCCTAGTGTAACGGAAGTCACGAACAAATCTAACAGCGATACACGATTTGATCTAGTTTGCTTTGGCCAGCCAAGCTTATTGGATGCCGAACCGTTGACTGAATACTTTTAGTTCCACCGGGTTCAAAAGCCTGCGAGAGGTCTGCATGGGCGGTTTCTTGTTTCTCCTCCATGCTTAATGAGAATATGAGACAGTTTCTAACAAAACATCATCATGGAGACATCCCTTGCCTTAGACAGATAGCCATCAGGTACTTTGCCATGTCTATGTAATACAAACCAGTCTTTAGCAGTCTTTCATTCTCTGTCGAAAAGTTGTTAAGCCTTTCGTTATGATAAACTAATTATTAAATGATATATGATAATCAAACCATCAGCAAGACAGCTGGAAATTTTAGTATTTGAGAACATTTTTGATGAACGCTTGATTTCTTCAGAAGTAACTATAGCATTATCAGTAGTTAAATGGAACCGAGATTCATCAGTAACAGAACAGAAGCAATTCTTTGGGTTCCATAGGCGATTTTTGCCGATTCAATGTGAAAAACGGTTGCTGAGAAAAGGAAGTGAGATAGGACGGGAGATAGATAAGGTTTATCCTAAGTTTTTAACAGTTAATTTTTAGTTAAAGCCACTTCTCTGTCGCTTCTAATTTCCTACTAGAACGTGTTTTCAAAATCGCGGTTAAATGAAAATGAAGGAAGAGCAAGTATTTAAAGTCGAAGTTCTACTGACTTCATTAGAGAGCCAGAGATTCTGACCAGCGCGCGTTCGCCTTTTGGCTATACTATCTGTAAGCTATTATTACACTCGGCCGTACAAGCCCAAGTTGAGACTTTACTGTACGTCCTAAAACAGGATCGAATGTGGACTTTATTTTGAGCAATAAAGGGTAATATAACCCTTCTTGAGTTCGTAGTTTGTGTTTCTATTTTTTTGAACTAAACGATTATTCGCTTACCAGTTCTCAAGGATCCACACACATTGCTGTAAATTCTAGTAATTTCATGAATACGAGTATTCATGAAAAATCCCATGTCGGCCGGTATAAGTCCTTCGTGATAGTCAGTTTTTACAAAGTTCAAAAACTACTTATATACTCTTGATATGATTTTGTAAGACTCTCTATTCAGCGAAAATATAGACGGAGCTAACAAACTGGAAGCATATCATTCACTCTCTGGCTCTGTTCATTTATATGTCATTTTTGGATATTTTCAATAGTATCTTAACTCGCATTAATTATTATGCCAGTTTAATATAAACACAAAGTGAATTTAATATGCATATTCAAAACTGTTTTCTGAAACAGATCTATTTACTTACTTTGCGATCCTTGCTGCCCAGACGGGAAAGTGGTTAACGATTCTGACTGCCGTACCGCCGGGCTTGAATCCTGGAGATGCCATGGATGTAAATTGTCTGTCCCCTCACAGAAAATAATGGCGGTCCACTTATTAGGTGTTTCCATAATAAAGTGACCACCACTTCCTGCTTTAGCAATGGCCACTGCCTCTAACGGCTAGTGTCCGATATTGGAAATTTAAAAAAAAATGTTGCGGCCCTTACACCTTTTGACATTATTTAAGTTTACATTAATTCTATGTATGAATATAATTTCATACAATTTCTAGTATAAAAACATGTGAAGATTTTCTATTTAGTTAAGCTTTAATTTTGTACACCAGTATGCATGTATTATTTATTATATGTCAAATCGTATGTTAATGAACGTAAGCACAAGTTGTTATACTGCAATTTTAATGTTGCTAGTTCTTTTGTATGAAGAGATATGTCACTAAGGTATTTAACCATGTAATGAACGTTGCAAGAATATCCAAGACCCAAACACGTAAAAGAAAAACCTGAAGTGTTTTAAATCCATATAGTAATTTATTTTATAATATGCAAGATATTTTAAGTTCGCTTCATCAAACAGCAAAATTTTGCAATTATCTAATTTTTGCTCAAAATTCTAGCTGATTTTAAGAGAAATCTAAATTATAAATTTAGAATGTATCCCCAAACCTTTATGCCACATGCAAAACCAATGCTAAAATAAGGCTCGCTAAGAGTATAGCACAAGTATAGCAGTTTGGAAAGAGTGGCGGATAAAATACTGTGAAAAATTAAAAATAAATAAATATAGTTTTTAAACACCAAATGAAAAATGGACTGAAATTTAATAAAAAATATTTCCAAATTAGTTTTAAAAGCGTAAATAATCAAATCAAAGTCCTTCAGATACTTTTTGCTATTTAATACTGATCAGTTCTTGGGAAAGAAACTGCATTAATTTCTCACATTTCTTTAGTTTATGCGATGCTTTATGTGAAAAGTAAAAATAGTAAGTAAAGTAACACCGTCTAAAATTTAACTGTTAAATTTGTTTCTAATTATGATTTCCTTTGAAATGAAACTTATAAAGTACTGGAGTAACATTTAGATTAAAACTACTTACAAGCTTCTTTTCGGTTTCATTCGACAACAGCAGTCGGTTGAAATTTTATTTTAAATGAATATATTCAAACTTTCTTATTGGTTGCATTTCGTCAAAGTTCGTTTGTTTAAACTAGTAATCTTGTAATTACTACTTTATTTAACATATAAAAAATAATAAGCACTATAAAATATATTCGATTTAGACATTTTGATAGACTCATGCATTCTAAAAAACTTACAAAAATTTTAACATCCTTGGACTATTAAGATGAAGTTCGATAAATCCGAATACGATTTCATTTCCCTATTAATCTAAGTAATTTATTATACGAGTGCATATTATTCCAAGGCGATAATAAGCATATGTTCATTCCTTTTCAGAAAGCTTCTTCCCAGAGAATTCCATTAATGATTGTTGCTAATAAGATTGATCTCCGGGACATGGCAGTGAGAACAGGTGTTACTTGTATAAGCACGGAAGAAGGAGAAAAATTGGCAAAAGTAAGCAAATACGGATGAAGTAGAGATTTTAATAGCATTTCATTATTCATGAAGAATATTTATTATTAAAAGTATTGCGATTAGGAATTAATTCATTGGTCTTTTTTGTGATCTTATGGAGCTAGGTTATACGAATCAGCAGCACGAAGAACTCACTGTCCCACAATAGTGCTCGTATGTCCTTTATTCTCGTAACCATTTATTGTAGAATATTTTCAATGATACAAATATTCCTGTTTTAGCATTTTGAAATTTAAAATTCGATTTTGTAAAAAAATGTGAAGTATAATTTTTTATATGACTTCGGTCTTTTAGCTAATTTATTAAAGGTTCGTGTTCATTCTGAAAAGTAAAAGACAAAAAGTTTGACACTCATATAAAATTGAACGAGATATTAGTTTGAGATCCTATTCAGGAGTCGTATACAAATCAAGAGCAAACTGTTTGCATTCAGGCTTGACTGAAAAAGAAATATCAACTTCGAAAAATGTTTCTGATATTAATAGATTGGAGTACAACTAACTCCTATCATTAAGCGTATAAAATAAAAAAATGAAAGATATTTCTAGTTAAAGACGTTTTTCTGTGATTACTGGGATATGATTCTAAGTGATAAAACTAATGCAGCCCTTGTTCTAGCATTTTCAGGTCCTCAGCCCATCTTCAGCCATAAATTAAACAAATTAATAAATTCAAAGTGAAATGTATCTTTGTCTCTTCTGAAATTACTTAAATGGTGTTCTACAGAAATCGGCGTTGCAGTTAGCTGCCTATGTTGCCTATACTTTGACAGGATGTTCCCTGCATTGAAATATTATTAATGTATTTTTTGCATTTGAAAACTTTTAAATTTCATGCATGCGAAGGCTTACATCATATCACATGTAACAAAATTATATGTTAACGGATTTTACACATTAGGAGATAGCAAAAGAATATCACTGAATGATATTAAGGCAAAAAAAAAAAAAAAATTATACCAGCCAGTTACATTGGCTGTTAGGCAATTAAACTCCTTGCTTGCCGATAACGCTGAAATCTACAAGAAAAATTTTTGAGTGCTTCACACTCGTCCAAATGTTCTGCCGTCATTGGCCGTCCAATATTACATAAAACACAAAACAGCGAATCAGCTAGTTCAATGCAAAATAAATGATTCTGTAGACAGTCATGTCCCGTCAGAAAGATATCTAAAAGTTAGTCTAAAAGATGCAACTGCAACTGTTCGCGGGTGGTCAGGAACAAAAGCTGGCTTTGTTGAGAGAGCACTCCAAGGCTTGCCCTCACAAGCCCGAGTGGCAAAATCTCTAAAAGTCTTTTGATATGTTAGCGATATCAGAAGCTTAATAGAATGGAGGTTTGCACTCGTTTTTGGCTTTTGGAAAACCGTAGCCCCCTTTTTCGCAAGCATATAAGCCATCTCATTCCCATAAATACCGCAGTGTGAAGGTACCCATTCAAAAGATATCTTGTGGGAAAGTTCTTTTATGACTTCCAGACACTGTTGAACGCATATGTTCCTGGTAAGAGGAGATGGCCTGTATTGCTGCAGTCGAATCAGATAGTATAACAGTCCTCCTGAACGATCTCTGTTTCAATGATAATTGTTGGAGAGCTACATGAATGGCTTTCAGTTCTTCATCAAAGTGAGTGGAGTAAGCCCCTACAGGTATGTAGAAACTGAAAAGCTTGCTAAAAACTACTTGAATAATTAGCCCAAAAGCAATATTAGTCTCTAAAAAGCATTTTGTGTTGAATTTATATAAATGTCGGGTCACTTTTCAAATTGTTGCCACCAAATATTATCGCCCTGTATTATATTTAAAGAAATTAAGTAATGAAGAATATGCATGACTGTATGCATATTTCTTGCACTGTTAAAAAGCAACGGTACCTAGAGCCATCAAATTTTGAATAACGTAGTGCGCCACCCGAACATAGATACCTGGAAACCCGAATTTGTAATTTGTTTTATTATCTATTTCATATTTTGTAAAATTTTAACGAATTTTTTATTAACAAATTCAACAATTTTAAAGCCAGAAATGCCAACACTGTACTTGAAAAAAAAATTTTTTTTATCTCTGAACGCGCGAGATTGTCAATTGAAACAACACTTGATGAAGAATCAAAACACAATTTATTCATCAATATTACACAGGACAGTTCCAAAGATGCGTTACAGTCGTCGAAAAACTGCTACAAACACGCTTCACGCTATCAGGCTATAACGGTGAAGACAGCTTCACGGCAAAGCACTTAAGTACAGCTCCCGACTTGGTTCGGTTGCTCTCAATCTAATCTCTGAACTCAAAACACTACTGCTGAACTCAACATACTCTTCCGCTGAGCGTAGAGGCAGGATATATATATATAGCTTTGAACTTACCTTTGAGAACATTCTCAGGAAAACCAGTAAGAATTTGTTCTAGAATGTTCTCGCTCCGTATATGGCATATCGCGAATTTAGTCTCCAAATGGGCGATTTCGCACAAATATGGCAACACTAAACCCAATTTTGCGAGGAAGCTATCTTGCCGTAGATGGGCATTTCGTGACAATATCATTAGCAACTTCTAATTATATGCTACGTTTGTAGTTTTAAGAACTACACTCTGCATTTCCAATGAGGTGCAGAAAAGATCTGCATTTGAGATGACTAATGGTAAGAATAATGTGTCTTTTATTAACTTAAATAATAGTTAAAATAGCCTCAACTATAATCATTAGAAACTATTTTTGTTAAGATTAGATCTCCTTCGTAGGCAATAATTTTGTACTGTTTTATTTTTCAGGATTGTGATACTACTTTTATGGAAGCCAGCGCCAAAGACGGATCGAATGTTTTGCACGCTTTAGCAAATCTTGTTCGGTAAGCATTTTCAAGGGGGAATTTCGTCATTTAAAGTGCTACGAGCCAATGAAAACTCTATTAGTGTTGTGCACAAAATTAACCCTTTGAAATTCAGATTTCTTTAATTTTAATCTATCTCTGTTTTAGAAACTAATATTAATTTAACCCTTAAATGCCTGAATTTTTATTTTTATTTTTAAAGTCAAAAATATATAAGAATTGATATTAAATAAAATAGAAAAAATGCTAAAAAGATCTAAACTAAGTTTTTATTCCAGTTTTTGAAAAAATATTATTAGTTTTTACAAATTAACTTTTACAAGAAAAGGGGGGATAGACAGATGTGTAATAACAACTTTGTATAATAATACATACCTTATAAACTTGTTCAAACAATTTTAAAACTTTGCATACGTCAAAATAACAACAAACACAAAATCAAAATTTGTAAACACAAATAATGTCCACAGTCTACACATCAACTCACAATAAAGACTGTTAACACTGTGGGGTTTATCTGAGCTAACGGAGACAACTGACGTAGCCGACCCATCTCCAAAACCAATTTCTTTCCATAGGGCAGCAACTTGAAAAATCTGAACTGCAGGCATAGCAGAACTAGTCGACACATAGAACTGACTCCTTTAGCTCAGATAAATCTCAGTGTGAATGGCCGTTTAGTGTTACACTGAAACTTTCAAAACTATATGCGTAAACAGTATGTACCCAATTGGTTACACTATGCAGTAAGCTAATTTTTTTTTATTTGATCTGCACGAATAAACACGAGTATGTTGCCAAATGCAACTACATGCATTTAAGGGTTAATATATAATATAATAGCTTATATGAAGATTTATTCTACATAATTCTATTCTAAATAATTATTCTAAAATTTATTCTAAACATTTAATTCTAATTTAGATTTATTCTAAATAATTAGCAACAACTCTTTAGATTTCTGTCATTTGTAGAAAATCGCATCAGCCCAGCAGCTCTTCTCATGAATAATTTAAGCATAGCTAAACATATTTAAGAAATATAGCTAAACATATTTAAGAAATATTCTTAGCATAGTCTAAACATAGCTAAACACATTCATAATATAAAACTAGTGCGATAAATAAAAAGAGATGATTTTATTTTTAATATACCATTCTACCGGTTTTACGGATACTTTGTCGCGAAGATCTTTCGTGATGCAGAAGCGTGTACACTCTTGCGGACCGTGCGTATTGGTTCATTTGTCCTTAGGGCCCCCTTCGTCTTCTCAAGGCGAGGTTGACAATCGAATATTTTCTCAGGGTATCTGCGAGCAGCTCGGTCCCCGTGTCGTTGCAATTGTAATCATCTATTCCTATCTCCTAAGATTCTAAATTTTTAAAAATACAGTATTAGTTTTGGCAGTACATTCAAGCCAAAAGAATCGTTTGGCAAAAACTGCTGTAGCCAAATATTTGCATTCCTGGTATTCCTAATATGTTAGTTCCTTTTTAAAAATGGTAAAATCCGACGTCATTCGCCAACTTACCACCTACCGGACTATACCAGCTGAGCCAAAATATAAATAAAGGAGATTTCATCAAGGCAAAAAAAAAAAAAAGTATTGCGCACAATTGTGAGTGCATAATTCAAAGAATGTGTCTATAAATCCCTTATGAATTTTTCATTATGAAAATAAACATGAACAAAAAGACTTAAAGAGCTAAGAAATGGCGGTATGGAAAAATTCTTAGAATTGGTACCCGTAAACTGACGTAAAAAGCCAGTCGTGGTAAATGGACTAACAGATTACATAATCAGTTTTCTGTGGATAAGATATGCTTGCCTAGTAAAAATTAATTAACAGGAATTCAGACCGTGCTATTTCAAGGGTAACTTTAGTTTTAACTTTCATTATTAAAAATGCCGTAAAAAGCTCCCAAAATGCTCTGAGAATTTAAAAAATGCTTTAAAATAGAAAAACGAAACAAATGCCCAAAAGGTACGTTTATCATCAAACTCTTGACCTTGAAAATGACCATTTACACTTGAAATTAATTTAAATACAAGGCTGGTTTTTGTTTTGTTTACTTTTATTGTTTGAACATTATAATTTGTATTAAATCATCACACATTTATAAGTTATTAATAGTACATGCTTAAGCTCTTGAGAAATCAATTGCATGTTTCTTCTAAAACTATACATTTATAAGAACTTTAATCATCTGATAGTTATTTTCTTCTTGCTTCGAAAAATCATGCATTTAGCTTGAAAAGAATTCTTTTAAAATTACTGCCTTTGCTTTTCAGATCCATGAGGACACAACAGGAACTTCAATTGTCTGCGTCCACGATGCAACTGTGCGATAAAAAGGCCAAGAAATCTGGATCTTGCTGTGGGAAATGATAAGCAATGCATTACCGTTGACTTCTTTATCCTTTGGCTTTGTCTGGAACGAAACATCAGCAAATTCTGTTATGAGACCTAATTTATATTCCTGAATAGCAAGGATTAAATTATAAGGAATTTTGTGAGATATATCAGGGGATTAAAACCATCTCTTTGCTTGATGTAGCTTTTTACGACCCAGAATAAGCTATCAGTATTAAATTGTATATGTTACTGGTCAGCTTACTGACTTCGCAACTTCTAATTATTCTTTAAACTGGTTATGGAAATTAAGGGTTATAACAAAGTAATTTGAGTGGCAAATAAAAACCAATTATGTTATTATTCTCGAAAAAAACACACTGAGAAAACGGAAAATGCTAAAAATTAGCGTTTAAGAATAAGTGCTTTCAGGATAGAAAAAGAAGGCTAAAATTAGAGTTTTATTTCTTAACACAGATTTTACGTAAAATGCATCTATAATCTAGTAAATATGCTAAATTATTTCGCTGCATTTCATCTTTTTAAGGACCCAGATATTTATCTACGAAAACCTCAATAATATGCAATGGATATCTTTAGCTTAAAGATCAGAGACATCAGAGTTTAGATATATAAGATTAGAGTTACAAGATAAGAGTTATAAGACCAGAGTCAGTAGAAATCGAAGCACCTGATTAGTTAAAATAAAGACGTATATTGTGGATGAAAACCATATTTCGTAATTTGACTCACTGATCATCTCAAAACATTATTGCACATTCATTTTATAAAACTGCGATATTTATCAGAAATGGAAGCATTTAAAATTAATCTAAGGTAGACTATATTTCTGCAACGACATGGATAAGACTGAAACTTTAACCGGTTAATCGAGATAAGCTTTCAGGATTATTTTTTAACGAGAGACACACTTCTCTAGTAGTAAAATTCAGCACTTATTCAAGCTGTAGTTGGAGATGGTTATGCAGTTATATACTTTATGTTATTACAAATTAGTTTTTTCAAGCTTTAAAAAAGTCTAGAACTGACTTTTGTTAATGCTATCAGTCTTTTTACTCGTGATTTAGTTTCTCGGCATATTTTGCCATTTTCATCAGATATATGTCTTCATGGAAGGTCAATGTTTTTCGTTTAATTGCACTCGTTAATCATATCACTATCACACTATCATTATAAATTACCTATGTTGTATCACATGTATAAAATGTCATGGATTCAAATGTAATTTGAAGGTATTCTACATGCTTTTTACAATGATGGGCCTTAAAAATAAAGTTTTAAAAAAGCGTCAGAAGTTTCTTTTACTTTTTACATCAAATGTTTTAAAATAATGTAACGCAATTTTATTTCTTTATAAACCTGAGTAAAAATAAAGACGCTTTATACTTTCTTAACTCTTATATTTATTGTACGTGCATATTTCTATAATTGATTCAATCGCTTTTGCAGCGTAAATTTATGCTAATGTTGCTTAGAAAATTACTTGCTTCGCCACAACTACACTTGAGGCAGCCAACACGTGAAGCAACGATATTATTTATCTAATCAAAAAGTTTCATTAAAACCCTAGATTTATATTTGTTGGTCAATATTTATTACATCTTCAAAGTTATTCTCCTGATTGCAGTGTACGTTTCAAATCCTCAAAATATGTCAACATACCTTAAAACCGTTTTCGTAGAAGCAGCTACCCTCTGCACTCGCAGGTAGTTTCCTTTCATAGAATCAATCGCCTCAAAACAAAAGGCACACTTTTAATTGTGGAAATAAGATAAAGTCACAGATGCCCTTTCAGGTGCGTATGGAGCTTGAAAAAACATTTTTATTGAATTTTTGGCCTAAATCTGAGAATAACAAGAATGTGAGAAGGTGAATTATTGTACTGCAGAATCCATGAGCTATCGCGCCACAGTTCAGATTGCTTTCCACAAACTGCTTCTCGTAAACGCGTAAAATGCTCAAAACCATTCTTTGTTAACAGTCTGCTCTGATGGTGGAAACTCATGATGCACAACACTATGCAATTGAATTAAATAGTCAATATTACCTTTATTTTTGGCAGAGCTTGATATCTTTTTGGCCTTCCTTCACTTGTTCGAGCGCCATTCACTTGATTATTGATTTGTTTCCGTATCCAAAGCGTAGATTTGTCTTCGAAAGTAATGCGCTTTAAAAAGCCTTGAGAAAGTATCTGCTCAGCAACATGAATATGTTATTGTTTTTAGAAAAGATTCATCATTTTTGAAGCAACTCGAGAAGAGATGTCAAATAGTCTTTCATCATTTCTTGACAAGATTCAAAAGGTATGGGAACTTGTTCAATATTATCTTCAATTGTTAAAAGACGACTGCTAAAATACCAAGTCTCTGACTTGACCGAAGAGTAGAACATTAGTTGAAATTAATTGTTTACCAGAGTGTGAGTTAGAAGACACCCAAAACAACTTCAAAAATAAAATATTTATTCAAAACATGCTAAAAATTAATTCGAATATTGAGCTCGAACACTTAAAAGTTAGTTGAAATTATTTACTATCGATAGTTTTTATTATGAGTTTGGATTTTAAATGAAATTGTATCGCAAGAATTACAGTTCGTAGTCTTTGAGAAAAATATTTTAGTAATTTGAGATTCGAAGTGACAATGATATAATGTTACGCAGTAATTACACATTTTATTAGAAATTTAGTTGTACAACATTTTAAATTTGGCGAGCGCATTGAAACTTTTGGAGCAATCTTTAATGTAAAGCGGGCAAGCTTGCATCAAGAGATAGGTGTTACACGCATATTTGAACGTTTTACACGGATATTTTACGTTAAACTACAACATTTTAAGTTAAAACCAAGAGGTTGGAGGTCTGGCCTGTGGAAAATCAAGAAAAATCGATGTTTTAGTACTGTCAAACTCTATAGTTGTATTAGAATGACATTTTGAAATGAAATTTAAAAGTTTTCACAAGTCCTCAAACCTTCTCCCTAATTTCCAGGATTAAATCTTATCAAACGTGAAATGAACTAGATGCGAGGGTAAAGAAAAGTAAAATATATTCAAAGATTAATTTTTATTTGTATAATTTTGTATATTTTTCCTTTCGCAATTTTATTTTCGGGATTGTCCTACTACGAATTCTCTTTTTAATTGGATTAATTTTGATACTACGGTTAAACCTCCCACCAATTCCAATTTACTTATTTATTTAGAGTTTATTCTACTTCAAACCTGCAGCTATAGCGTAGGATGGGTTTTTAAAAAAATGTTATTCTAATTTTTTAATTAGAATTTTTAGCCTATATATATATATATATATATATTAGCCTATATATATATATATATATATATATAGGCTAAAAATCTAATTATATATATATATATATATATATATATAGGCTAAAAATTCCTAGCCTATATATATATATTTTCTTTTTCAATATATATATATATATATATAATTGAAAAAGAAAATGTAAAGCTAACAAGTAATTAGACGTAAGACCTATTTGGTCTCAAAAACTTTTGCGCATAATGCTGCAAAAGAATATGAAATAACAATAGTAGGTAGAAACATTGCAGCGATCTTGCTAAAAAGTTACCAGGAGCTGTAGCTCCACGAAATATTTTAACGCAGTAATACAAAAATAAAAACTAAGAAGATATTTGTCTGGACGAACTGGAGAAAAAAAAAAAAAAAAAAACTGTAATCACGCGAAAAAAAAAACTGCCAAAATTAATGCTGGAAGACTTGCTAATGCACGGAGAAATTAATCTGACCGTTGTGATAAGTGAAAAGTTAACTCACATGAAAAATAGAGTGACGGTAAAAAATATATAAGGAAAGTACAAATAAAAAACATAGATTGAAAAAATGCCAATGCATCAAAAGTAAAAATTAAAAATTAAAATGAAGACACAAATTGCAACAATACAATATACAATAATTAAATAGCGGAAAATGGTAAATTAACCTACTCGTACTCTCAATTGGCTTTTCAAGGGAAAAAAACTGATTGTCGAACTAGGTTAAATACCATTAGGAGTTTCGCCGAAACAGACCATTGAAGCTCTTGTTTAACGCGAAAGAATTTTTATTACAAAAGAACATTAGTATTCCCGAATATATCTTTTTTGGAGCTTCACTGCTCTGTTCCTTTTTCCCGACGCGTCCGCTGAAATACACATTAGGGTGTCAAAAGCAATTGCAACTCCGAGCAATGTAAAATTTAAAATCAAAATCAAAATAGAATAAAATTAATAGCGGTCTGCTATTAGTCAAATATTACAACAACGTACGGGCTGGTCCTTTAAACCTTAAAGAAGATGAAACTTTTATAAAGAGAATGGTGCTGTAAACAAATAAAAATGTAATTAAATTTGCAAGAAAAAAAAAACGTCGTTGGGTCTTATTAGGACCAAAAAAAAAAAAAAAAAAAAAAAACAGACAAAAGAAACGAAAAAACTGACCTGTGAGGTGGCGTCCTGAGCATCGCGAAAAAATTTGAAAAGGGTGCAAATCCCCTCCGTGTCCTACCAACCTTCCTTCTCGTCGTGTGACGTATGTGGGAGAAACAATTAAAACTGCATAGGCCAATGGGCTGAGATTGTAGTTTTGGCGGGAATTCCTGTTCCCCCTTTTTTTATAGAGGGTGTGACAGACGGGAAAAGACACGGAAAGAACTCAAAATGGCGTCAGTCAAGTTGTTAGAAGAACAAAACTGCTACAAATAAGTGAAAATGGCTAATTCAGCTAAAATTACTTATTTTTGGCCACAAAAGAAAAAATAAATTGGAAAAAAGTCATTTTTAATAAAAGTCGTCATTCTTCAAGCTAGAGGACGGTCAAGCTACTATGAAAAATAAAAAGACCCGATTTGTTAATAATAGTAAAATTTGGCCATGTAAGTAATTTAAAACTATTAAAACAATAGTATTAAAGTATAGTGCCCAAATCTTTGGAGAAGAAAATGTATTTTACGAGAATATCTGTACATTATACAATTTTTTACATTAGATTATCTGAATCAGCCATCCACTTTTATACCATCCCATTGGGGCTTGAGCATAAAATGTCATTATCCAAAACAATTATCTAAAAATTGTAAGGCTAATGCCAGCTTTTTTAAAGGTATTTTTAATTATTTTATGAGGAATTTGGTATTTTTCAAAATTGTGACGAAGTAAGTATTTCTCTTGTAAGTGTCTTAGTATTACATATTCTTTTTATTCTAAGTAGCTGTGAAAAAATTGTGATGATTCTTTTGAAAAATATAGAATTTCAGTTGGTTAACTTTAGTGTAGAAAAAGTGAATTCTCTCTCTTGTCGTAGACTTTAAAAATTGTATCAATAATATTTAGGTCAAGGTAGGTATACTACATTATTTTGCACCGTATTTGTTTTTTAGTTTTAAGCTAGTTGGGTAGATATGCTTGCTCTATTTGTTATGGTTTTTAAAGGCTATGATATAATCGATGTAACGATATATGTGTTGGTAAAATTTATGTTCTTCTTTGTCTAGTGAACGGACAAAGGTCAATTCTCTTGTGAAAAGGAATAATTCGCAGACAGCGCTCGAAAAATTTCCGCCATTGGGATTCCTTGAATTTGTTTGAATGCTATTGTTAAGAGAATAAAATTATTGAAAGCACGTCTCGTAAGATAAAGTTGCCACATTTTTCGTTATCAATTATTGTCGAATCTGTGGAATTATATCTGGTAGAGCAAGTAAGCTGGTATAAATTTTTCAAGTGGTAAGGTAGTATAAAGGTTTCGAATCGTAGCATTATATGGTCTATTTGAATTGAATTAATTGTCTTAATTACGAGTTCGTTACTTGAAATCATCCGTTGCAAGCAGATCTTGAAAATCATAGTTTAATCAAGTCACGTATTAAACGAAGTTTTTTTTTTTGCAAAAATAATCTATTTCTTTAAGATAACTTTTGGTACTATTGGCAATGGAACCTGAAGTTAATAGGTGACTATGAAATTTTGGAAGGGCATAGAGATTAGCAAATCTGTTTATTATGTTCGTGGATGTATCTTAAGTCTTTTATGTAGTGCGTTAAATTTATTGATTAGAATTTTGGTGTTGGTGGTAATTTTTTGTTACCACCAACACCAAATAGAGGTGCCATTACTATTTAGTTCTTTGTGCAGTAGGTCGAAGTAAAACCTTTTTTCAAAGAACACTAAAATTGTTGCTAGCTTTGTCTATTTTAGTAATGATAAAATTATCTTGCAAGTTTTTTGATTAGATCAAAGAGTCGTTGCTTATTGTTTAGAGAGTTGAAAGAAGGTGTCCTTGAAGAGTAAATGTTGAAATTCTTTAATCAGTGCAGCTTTCCGTTCAAGAAAAGTAGTAGTAGGTAAATTGATTTATTACTAACTAAGATGATAAA